GGTTCGGTTCGCTTGTGTTGCGTTCGGTTCATGCTGCTCCTTTTTCTTAGAGGGAAGCGTTTACACTCCAGAGCAGAAGGCAACCACCAGTAGGAAACAAGAAGAAGAAGAAGAAGCAGCGTAGTCGATAAAAATCAGCGAGCCAGCAGCAGTTTATAAGTCTGCTGTATGGGAACACTTTGCATTTAGAGGGAAGCACATGTTGGAATTAGCACCGTTTCTTCGCTTGTAATGCCAGAATCTCACCTACTTTTAACCCAAGACTGTCACAATAATGTATCAAATGTCAGACTGCTTTTTTCTTTCAGTTTTAACCTGACTATACAAGACATAATAGATTTTCCTAACAATCAACACATACCGAACCGAAAACCGTGACCACGAAACCGTGAACCGAACCGTGGATTTTGTGAACCGTCCCACCCCTAGCCTAGTGGTTTTCCTCCCGGTCCTCCAGCTCTCCCTCTGTTTCCCCGCAGGATCGAGAGCTACTCGTGCAAGATGGCGGGCGACGACAAGCACATGTTCAAGCAGTTCTGCCAGGAGGGGGAGCCGCACGTGCTGGAGGCCCTGTCCCCCCCCCAGCCCACCAGCGCCACCCCCCCCCCGCCGTGGGCCCCCCCCCGCCGTGTCGCCCGCGGGGGCGCCCCCTCCCGCCTGCGGCCCCGGGCCCCCCCCCCCATCCCCCCGCCCCACCCCCCCCCCCGGTTGTACCCCACCCCCCCCCCCCCGCCCGGTGGTCAGTGAGCCCGGTCAGCCTCCGTTTACCCCCGTTTTTCTCTGGCCAGGCTGGGGAAGAGCAGCGAGGACGGGGAGAATCCTCTGAGCGATAAGTGCTGCAGGAAGACTCTGTTCTACCTCATCACCACGCTCAACGAGTCCTTCAGGCCCGACTACGACTTCAGCGCCGCCCGCGCCCACGAGTTCAGCCGCGAGCCCAGCGCCAACTGGGTCAGTACCCCCCCCGGTCGGATATCCGACTCCTCCCACATCCACGTCGGCCATTTTGATTAGCTCATGTGTGACTAGCAGCTTTCTGAGGTGGAAACGAAACTTTACTGTCGAACGATTTCCTAATCCTCACCCTTAACCTAATCCTGACCCTAAACCTAACCCTAACCTTAAACTTAATCCTCACCCTAACCTTAAACCTAATCCTCACCCTAACCCTGACCCTAGCCCTATCCATAAACCTAATCCTGACCCTAATCCTAACCCTAACCATAATCCTCACCCTAATCCTCACCATAACCCTAAACTTAACCCTAACCCTGACCCTTCATAATTGTGAGAAATAAATATTTTTTGGTTAAACTTGTTTGGACTTATTGTGCAAACCTATTTAACACCCACTATTTTAACATAATATTATGGATAGAGTTTAATTCAGTGTTTGCAAGATTCATTTCACTATTTTTAAATAATTTCTATATCGCCATGAAGCAATTAGGATTTTCTTGCCTGGGATCTTCCT